ATTTGAAGCACACAGATGCCTTGCAGATGCAGCAGCCATACACTCGCACACATGAGCGCAGTCACCTGTGCTGCCAGCAACACAGATTTCCCATAACGTTGACTGACAAGCTGTTTGTAGACATCAGCAAGGTGATGAGGGCCGGAGACTATACTCAGGGGGCACTTCAAAGGAAATTGTAGCCTGGAGATTGCAGGTTTGACATAAGCTTCCTCATCTGTTTCCTCCTCCTCCTCCTCCTCCTTCTCCTCCTCATCCTCCTCCTCCTCAGAAGCATCAGGGGAGCCCTGAAGGGGAGGTGGGGGATTTGTTTCATGTTAGTCTCCACTGGGATTCCCTGGACTAGGACTGACAAGGTTTCCAGGTCAGCCTCATTTCATTATAGCCATTTCAAATCAAATTCTGTAAGTCTGAGTTGAGTAAAAAAAGGTAACAAGAGTTAAACGAAGAATAACTCTTCATTTTGTCTAACTTAACCGTATTAATTATTTCCACTCTGCGTTGCAGTCTGTAAATTAAAAAAAAAATGCCTTCAGATCCCCTAAATGTTACATAAGTGCTACGAGTTTATACCTTTTATTTAAATATGATATTGTGAAGTAATTATTATTGTTACAGTTATTGACACACCTAATAATTCCTACAAAATAGATGTAAAACTAAAGCATGTGAGATATCCACCAGTGGATTTGCATAGAGAATGACTCAAAGATTTCGTCTCAAAACAGACAAAACAAAAGAGATCAAACGTGAACTACTAAAGGGGCAGTATTATGTAAAATCAACTTTTTTTTATCATTACATCATGTTATGAAGTTATTCCCTTACTAAAAACATATCTGCAGTGCTGCCTTTATTCTTTCATGCATGTCTGAGAACTCCTTTAATCTCCCATGGCAACCATTCAACTATGCAACACGCAATCGCCGCCTTTGAGGGTGAAGCTCCTCCTTGGAGATGAAGTTCCCAATCTTCTGAGCTTCTGCATTACAGATCACCCCTATCTCATGATTCCAGCCACTTAGCTCCTTCAGACTAGCCAGCAGCAATTAGCAAACACCTAGGGAAACTGCACATCTGCTGAGCTCATTATGTGAGCTACTTCTCAGTGAAGCACCAGTGAAAACTGTTGTCAAAGGGTTAATAAAGCAGCAGTGTTATGACTTCCTGAAGATGGACTTTGGAAAGAGCAGGAGTTTTTAAAGAAACACAAGTCCAATTTCAAGACGTTAAATTATGAAGTCAACTTTTTTTAAAGTCATATTTAACATAGAAAGCATTTTTGTTACAACTGAAGGTGACATAGTTGCTTGACTGTGCTGTAAAATGATACTATGTGTTTCGAAAATACATAATGCTGCCCACGTAAAAGCAATTCCACAGCACAAATAATCTATCAAGGATTTCCAACAGCTGCGATGGAATGGCAACCTGTCCAGGGTGCACCCTGCCTCGCGACCTTTGACTGCTGGAGATAGGCACCAGCACCTGTCGTGAGCCTGCAAGAATAGGTGTGCTAGATAATGGATGGATGGATTTCCAACACACCTGACCTAAGGAGAAAGCTATTTTTAAGAAAAACAAAGGTTCTTCTTCCCTATCAGACTAAAGAAAGACTTGCACATCTGAGGACGATAGAGAGCAGAACTGTATTTGTACAGTAATAATCCCTGTTGAAATGCAGTGAACGATCAGCTGCTAATATTGTCTGAATATTGTTTGGATGTCTGCGCGATAATCCGTAGATTTGTAACTCACTGTTTACACCGCAGTGTTTGCATGTCTGTCTGTAGAACTTATATTATTAGTTGCCATGTTGTAATCTGCAGAGAAGCATTGTTCTGTATTCAAGTTGTGCAGCTCCTGACACATTGAAAAGACCAGATAACACAACATGTCACTAAGGAAAAATTTCTTTATTCTCATAAGTAGTGAAATGCCAGCCAGAAAATACATTAAAGTTTGTGGTTGGTGTGACAAAATATGACAAAGTTCAAGGGGAGTGAATAATTTTGCAAAGTACTAACAGCAGGTTAAAGGAGTAAAATTATGGGATGCACGATCACCTGCAAACTAACTCTCCTCATTACCTAATCAAAGAAATCTCCATATGCTAACAATAGAATCTCAGTCTTGCACCAGACCACACAGAAGAAATGCAGTCAAAATATGTTTTACAAGTTTGAAAAAATAAATGATTTTGTAAATCATAATTAAATGCTTTCCAAGAGCTGTGATATACGGGGTTATATACAGTCATTGTGAGAGTCCGGGGACTACCTCAGGGTGTCCAAGCAGGACACACCCTGTAAACCTCCAAAGGGAAGCGACCAAGAAGGCAATCTAATCAAAACGATGAAAAAACTCAGCTGACTCCTTTCAAAGTCAGGTAGCAGTGGATCTACTCTGAGCTTCCCCATCTCTTAGGCTGAGCCCAGGCAGAGGAACAGAGGAAGATCATTTCAGCTGAACGTACCCAGAATCTTGATCGCTCAGATCTTTTCATATCTCATTATTGCAGGTGAGCTAAGAGCTGCACGCACATTGCTGCAAACAAGCCCTGAGCATGTTTCTGTAATAAAACTCTGTATTTCTGAAATTAAATATTTATTGTATGACATGAAAGTTAAAATATTAAATAAGTTAATTGGGAGAACCAAATATCACTATTTATTTGTTTTTTAAGGACTAAAGAGGATTAAAGGTAGAAGGTCTAACAGCAAAAAGGCAGTAAACTACAAGTGATTCATAGCAGTAAATTAGTCGCCTGAATGGATAAACCTGAGACTTGGCAGTAAATAAGTAGCCAGCATAACATGTTCATAGTATTGCAAAAACATTGTGTAAAAAATATCATCATTTTATGGTACTATTACAACACATTTAAAGCAATGTGATGCAACATTCCTGTATTTCAGAAAAAAATATGTATCAATACGATTAAAATAATATTGCTATTTGATTTTTATTTTAATACATAATCTAAATACGGACTTTCCTTTGTCATATTCCTCTTAAGTCAGTTTGACATGTCTTTATTTATTTATTTATTTATTTATTTATTTATTTATTTATTTTGGCAAAAGTTTTAAACTTGATTGTAAAAAAAAAACCTTAATAGCAAGAAGTAGTGCTGTGTTAAAAAAAAAAATCTGAAGAGCTTCTTCTGATCTAAAACGAAATGGAAACTGCAAATGCAAAATACAAAAATCCTTCGGTCAATAGTCTCCTCATTAGAGCATCAATTGATTCAAGTTATTGATCCATAAGATAAAACCACGAGATCTGGGCCAAGGCCAACTTATTGAGACTCTGCTCCTGGCCAACGCTAAGATGAAATTTTTAAAACGTCTGGCCAGAGCTTTTTGGCTTCAGGTTATCAAAAGGGCTCTGAGTTTTCCCCGCAGAGCCAACAAACAGCAGAGACGAAGATAAAAGACACAAATAGTTTCAATAAGAGAAAATAATAAAACAAACCAAAACAGAGGAACAGAGATAACTGCAACAGACTTGCAGCTCATCATGCTATAAAAACAGCCAGTGACAGGACGAGTATCAGGATTTATCGGGGAAGGACGCGACGAGCCAGAGGAGAGAGGACGGGCTGCTGTGTCAGATCATGTTGGTGTGATAACATTTAATACTGTGACATCAACACTGTTGTTACCGAGTGCATGTAATGAACTCGACAGCCTCACGGTGTAATCTGTCCTCATCAGGCAACCAATTAGCAAATCACCTGCTAACACCCACGTAATTAGCCAATCAGCAGGTCACCCAAACAGGGAAACACACCTGCTTTCACCTACTACCAATTTTTAGCTATTTTTGCTCATCTGGCAGAACAGTCGTATCGTGTCGTTCTGGGGATTTTCCTCTGCAGCGATCCCACTCATCTGCCAGGAACGGGAACGGGAACGGGGAGGGGTTGTCAGCAATTTGCAGAAAAGATACCTATCTAATAAATATCCATTTAATATTTACTGACGAGCCCATTTTGAAATGCATCACTGAGCTTAAGTGTATATTGAACATGCCCATCCTTGCACGGAGCATCTGAACTATTAAAGCTGCTGAGCAGGATCAATACGCTCTCGCAGTGCCAAGCAGAAGCAGAATAAAGAGCAGCATCCATAACCACACGGAGAAGCATTTACTGATCGCAAGGAAAACACTGAGGCATGGATACTGGAGGCCTGAGCAGCAGTACAACACCGATCACCAGACTCAGCCAATCAAGAGGAAGCGTAGCTGTCAAGGGCCTTAACCTGTGCAGCACCGAGCCACAGCTATTAATTAATTTGTGAGCAGGCCTATTAATCTGCTTCTTAGCATGATGAACACGCGAAACCCAAAAACGTCTCTTCTCTACGTTGGCATCTCTGCGTTTGACTTGCATTTCCTAATGCTGGTTGCTATTAGGTCCACAGACCGACGCTTTCTCTCAGTTTGTTTGGCTGCGGCAGCCGCTTCACTCTGTGCCTTTGTTACCGTAGAAACCAATAGCAAAGCAAGGCTGAGATGTTCTGTTGCAGCAGATGCAAACGTGAGCAGGGTGGGTCCGCCCTCTACATCGCAACCACACATGTGAGCTTGCAAACACAGAAAGAAAACAACAGTGTGTCCACCAAAGCCTTCGCCCAAACGCATTTAATTTATTCGAGAGCAAATGGATACATGCTTCGAGATAAGAGGTACATGCAAGAAGGTGGGGGTCTCATGCTGCAAAGGAGGGGGATGGGGCAGTTGCAGGCATTTCGCCTCCATAATTATGCCAGCGCTGGCAAGATATATAAGGTAGCTCGGATGGGCTCAATATGGGTCAATGGCAAAATCTCACTAAAAAAGCAGAAATCCGGTTATTTTGCTTTCACAAGCGAAGTATATTTTCTTACGACATAATCTGTGTCACGCAGATTTTTAATCATTGTGAAACAATTGGAAAAATTTACAAAACCACAATTTAGAATAAAATACTTTATTGTCCCTACAGGGGAAAAAAATTGTAATAGACTCCAAGATGTTGCATTATGTTGCATAATAACTGCTGCTCTAAAGGCAATAAATAAATATACATGCAATTCAGTTTAGAAACAACAACAGAACCCAAAGATATTGCACACCTTCCAGACCTCAACCTACATTTGGTTCAAAATTATGATGGGGGTGAGGTTCAAAGGAGTATTTAACATTGTTCAAATTAGTTTTTGGGATTCTGTACCTTCTGCCAGAGGGCAAGAGCTCATATTCCACAAACAGAATGTGGGATGGATCCAACAATACCATCCGTTTCTGCATATCACAATAATATCAAGTAATTATGAAGCCTCTGCTCCAAAAAGCTTTGACCAAGATAGTTTAACAATGTAGGAAATATGTTTAAATTATAAACTGCGAACTGGTTTGACACACACTCACCACTCACTTGATTAGGTTCCCCCAATCCCTTAACTGCTATTATTATCTGTGGCGTAATTGTCAGTAGCAAATCCATAATGTGAATCTCATTTTCCACCACATACATGATCCCTTATACTTTGTTCTCGTTTGGTCCTCGGGGACAGAATGCAGGCTAAAGCCCGGAATAAAACAGGTTGGCCTGAGGGTGGAAACATACACGGGCTAAACTGGGAGAAGTGGGTCACCTTGACTCTTCACAACTCCACCCGTTTTGAGCAAAGTCATTAATAGAGTTAAAACTACTACAAATAAAAGCGGCATGCAGAGTCTGTATATTTCTGTGGTTCAAATGTTTAGGAATCTACCAGAGACACAACCAAACTACCAAGACGGCTTGTTGAAGGACTGAACGACTGCATCTGTCCAAATCAACACTACCTTTGTTGAGCTGGAAAACTCTGCCTTGAGGTAAAAACACAGTCTAGCTCATATAATATGTAGATAACGACACTTTATTCAAACAAAAATAGCAGGCATCACTCACAAATTGCCTGGATTCCATGCTAAAAATACAGGCTACGGCCAATAAAAGACCGAGTCGTCTATGGGGATGTGTTACAACATAACCTCTGTGTTGCTGCTTCTGTAACTCACATAATACAAAACAAAACCTATGAATCATAGCACAAAAAAGAGAAAGCTGAAAAAGGGAGATTGGTCAGGAGCAATCATATTAACATATGTTAAGTTTTTACGTTAGCAACATGGTTCTGCAACTGTCGTGCAAGCACCATTGTTGGTGTCTTTTTAGTAGATATTCGAAATCAATTCTGATATCACAAACAGACAAAAAGATGAGTTGTGTAAGCACGAGGGGTTCTAGCCTTGGAAAAAACAGCACAATACAGATTATATCAGGAAGTTGGAGTGCTACCTGAAGTAAGCATTAATGAAACATTTCAACAAACATATTTAATGCAATGTAATAACATTTATTTCAAAGAAAATGCAACAACTGTTCACATTTCTGCTATAAATAATATAACACATTGACTGCTACAGATATGATTCTGAAGTTGAAGAGGTTTCTTTATTGTTCTTTTAATTGTGACACAAAATCTTAAGCAGATGACAAATTTCTTATTTAGCTGTTTTCAAGGGCTTAGTTTGCAGAATAAACATTTGTGTCATTTTTCTTGTTGCAAAGCTACCAACACATGATAAACAAGCAATAAGCCAACATCTCTGGTAGGCTAGGGTTGGGGTTAGCAACGAAAAATAAATGGCTATCATTTGTGCATTATGTCTCAAAAACAGTAAAGCAAACAAACGCAAGTCAATCATGATTTAAAACACGATTGAAATACATGGTAACTTCTGGAGGTATGCAAGCTGTTTGTGTGCACGTATATAAGCAAAGAGCAGAGGAACAACGGCGTCAAGTCTTTATCTTATCACAGTGGAGTTCATATTCCCTCAAGAGGGCTACCTGTCTCCTAAGAACTACTCTAATCAGAGTTAAGGGGATCTGTCTTCTGCAGTTAAATATCCCAAAATACTATTCAATCTACAGGGTCATTTATATGCTAATGCAGAGATTACTTTTGCATACACGTTTGACACTGCAGTGTGCTGTTGGAGAAGAAAAATAATAGTAAGAAAACAAATTCGGCGAGACTGAAGAAGGATGAGAGGAGGATGAAAGAGGAGGGGAAAGGAAGAGGAGAGATGAAGGCAAGGAGAGCAGAGAGAAGACACTGGGAGGAAGGAGGAGAGCAATTCCCCTGGGTAGGTACCATAGGTAATTAAAATAAGATGGACATAGCTGGAGTCTTGCCAAAGAGAGAGCTCCAGCTCTCTTCAGACTTCTCCCCCAGTCAGACCCTTCTGCCTAAAGCCAAAGAGCTGCAAGTGACACGCAAAACAATAAACGCTGAATGAACAGACAGCTCAGAAATGTAACAGCCCCAGCACGAGGAATTTGGGCAACAAAATAGGTAATGTATTCATCTTTGCAGCTGCAGTAAAACAACAATTCACAGACACTCAGACAGCGCATGTGCTCACGCACACACACACACACGCACACGCACCAATATCCCCACACACAGAGACTTTTACAGTGCTGTGCAAAGCTGCAGCAAGGGCAAACGTTGCTAACCAGAGTTTGACTGCAGTAAGCACATATACATTCACTGCACAGCTCCGAGCTGGAAGCGAGCACATGAGTATGCGGCGCACACATTCAGGCACACACAATCAGCACAGAGTCAAACGCACACACACACATGCACACTCCAGCAGCAGCGTGTACAGCAGCAGTGAGGATGCAGTCTAATTACACAACAGTGACACCTATGAATCTGACCGGCTTTTATGGTGTCGTTACTCTTTTTTGTTTGTTTTTTTCAGTATTAATGATGCACTTTGCTCTGTGGACGGCAGATCGGCTCAAATTCAGAACAAAGAGGATTTGTCTGATTATATTAAATCAGATTCACCTGTTTGGAAAATAAATTCTGATTTCGGGGCAAAATGATCAGTGGGGTGGGTGTTATTTTGCTCTTTTTTTTTTGTTTTTTGTTTTTTTGTTCACTGACTGGAACCAAAATTCTGCATACCTTTTATTTGTCTACCTCGTCGTGTTAAATTCTGCATGACATCCGTAGCCATCTACGTGGATTCTCTGGTGCTAGTAAAGAAAGAGCCTGAAGGGTAGCCCATATTCTTGTCACGCTGTTCTTTGTGTGCTCTGATCTCTAAGGGTAAATATAGCTCTTTTGGCAGGAGCCTGCTAAGAGGATCATAGCTCACAATAGGTGGTCCAAACACAAACAGCAAACAAAATGGCAAAAGAACCCGCTTATAGGCTGATGTGCGCACATCCACAAGGCGCACGCACACGCTCCGACACACGCTGCTGCAGCACGAACACCAAAATATGCAACGACAGATACAACGCCTTCCCTCTGAGAGGCTTCTCTTTTCCTTGTAGGTATAATTGTGTTGTGGCTATGCTTTGCTTCTTCCCTCACAGTTGTGACGGAGCTGCAGGTGAAAAGCCGTAATTAAAGAAGAAAAGTTGTGTTTGTTGTGTGAGAAGGGTGGTTGCAGGAGAGAAGAGGAAGCTGAGAGACAGAAAAGAAAAAAAAAAACCTTCATCAGACAGTGAAATCATCCCGAGGAGCTGGGACACAAAGGACTCGGATGCCTTTATCTCCCGACAGAAAAGTCTTCCAAATCCCTCTGGCTAAGCTGCCATAACTAAAGCCCGTGCTTGGAACAGGTGCCTGGTGAATTGGTTGAACAACAAAAGTAGCAAAATTAGACAAGATAGACCGAGCTCCAAAGAGACGTATAAACTCTCATTTATTGTGGGCAAAAAAGGGGGGAAAAAAAGCCAAGCGCCTTGGCAGTGGCATTTGAGAAAAGGTTACCTGGTAAATTGCTTATCTTGTTTGTGTGTGTGTGAGCGCTATAGGTGTGAGTGCAAAGACTTGGGGCTAGATGGGCACTCTGCCCCACTGCAATTATTTTTGCTACAACTAAGAAAACACAAAATGCAGGAGATCAAAGTGTCTCTCTCTCTCTCTCTCTCTCTCTCTCTCTCTTAACTGAATTGAAACAGCTGTGAAATCACTAACAATCCAATTAGCAGCCAGTTAGATGGGCGGAGCGGTTACACGGATTGACGCGGGCTCGTTTGTAGGGAGAGACTCGCAACGATCCTCGTACGCAACAAACAACTTCAAGTCAGGCATTCGGAAACCACTTACATGTGCGTAGGCTGGGTGTCCGCACAGATAGAGAGCACTCGGTAAATAAGGGGGATTCCTGCACATTTTTAAAGTTGCAATTTTACACTTTACCAAACTCCTTCCAAACGGTTTCCACGTGCATTATATCAATTTGCCCAAATATCACCACTCAAGTTCGCAGCGACTCTAAGAACCGAATGCATGGATGTTTTGGAACAATGAGAAAGGGAATCCAAAGTGAATTTATTTAAGCAACTGTTTTTTTTTTATTATTATTATTATTATTATTATTATTATTATTATTTGCTTTCCATCCTTATCCAGACCTGAAGAAATGCCGTATTTAGATCAGATTCACGTTTCTGGACTACAAAGGAGCCCTGTAAATATCTCTGAACTCCCAGATGAGGCCTGTCTCAGAGGAGCTGTGAAGATGATGCAGTGGACAGAGCAGATGGTAAGACGAACACACATGATAGCGCGGGTATAATGTGCTGAGACCACACAGTGGATGCTTCAAATGGAGCTGCACCTCGGGGAAGAATCAGTGTGAGCGGAGACTCATAAAACTAAAGATATATGGCCACTGTAAAACGCTAGAGGGGCTTTTACATTGGAAATAGCCGCAAGTAGGTATTACAGTGTTTAGGAAGCTGACATAATCCACATGCTGCATTCACTTTAGCCTCCTGAAAATCATTTATCTTAACCTGAATTTCTAACAGCGTAAAGGTCTCAGAGTGCACCGTCTTTTATCTGTCTTTGTTCTGTTAAAAACATCTGGAGGGACCTGTTGGAAATTCATGAAAGTTTTTTTTTTTTTTTAACAGCAGCAAAATAAATAAATAAATAAATAAATAAATAAATAAATAAATAAATAAAATAAGGTTTGCATGAAGAGGTTCATATTATCTACAACTGGAATTGGATTCTGTTGATGAAAAATGTCCAGGTTGCAGGACTCGTGACCCTCGGGGGCTCCTAAATGTTGAAAAATGGCTCCCTGAGGCCTCTGATTCAAAGACCGTGTTGGAGCAAGTGACCTTGCAGAAGCCCACCTTCTTAAATCCATCAGACGTGTTGCAGCCCCTGAGGTCAAAGAATCCGGCTAAGCCTTACCTCCAGATGAACGGCACGGCAGCGTGCGGTGAAATTCGAGACACTTGATGAAACCGCTTTCAGCAAAAGAAACATTTGCTCAAATCTCTTCAAGATTAGACGAGTAAGAAAATATGTTTGTGTTACGAATGAGAAAGATGGCTACATTTAGTGTGGGTGTGGATGCATGTTGAAAGTAACTTAAAGTAAATTTAAGTACTGTAACAGTACGCATCAATAATGAGTCTTATGATATTTTCATGGTATGACAACCTTGAGGTGAAATACCACTGTAGCACCATGTTCATACAAATATATATATATATATATATATATATATATATATATATTTATATATATATATATATATATATATATGCGCCATAGTTTTATTTATTTTATATGAAACAGAAAAATAATCTGCCGTTGACATTATATTAACATTCAAATATTTATTCACAAATCCATCCGATATATTAGAATATTACTTACTGACTTACATGGAGCATGACATATAGATTAATTAGACACAGGTGGAAGTTTGAAAGCCTTCATTTTTGTTAATTATGATACTTTTTTCCATTTACACGTAATGAAACAAAACATTTAAAATTAGAATATCACATCAGACCATAATGAAACCACAAATAAAGCCGAAAGGCGGGATAAGTGAAACGTGTGTTCACTCCCTGCTTGAGGTGTGCTTTTTCTCAAAAAAGTGCTTTTAATCTGACAAACGCGACTCGTCGGATCGCGTTTTAAATTCACTGAATGTGACTGCATTAACATTTAATTTGCAAACTGAAGCATTGGTGCTTTGTTACATGCTTGTTGTTTTGCTTTAATGACAGCATAAAAAGCTGCTATTGATTAGATAATTAATTGGACTATTTGCTCCCATAGCCGACTTGCAGTCAGCTCCTTTACAGACTTGCCACTGATAGTTTTAAAATAGTGCAATAAATGATAAGCGGTGCAGTGCTTTAATCTCCGAGCAATGACTTTAAGTGTTTTTTTTTTTTGGGGGGGGGGGGGGGGGGGGGCCCCGGGAAAAAAAAGAGTTTTTTTTTTTTTGTGAT